CTTCCCATCTTTCTTTCTCTCTTTTGCTTCCTTCCTTCCCTTCTTTCTTTCTTTCTTTCTTTCTTTCTTTCTTTCTTTCTTTCTCTCTTTCGCTTCCCATCTTTCTCTCTCTCTTTTGCTTCCCTTCTTTCTTTCTTTCTTTCTTTCTCTCTTTCGCTTCCCTTCTTTCTTTCTTTCTTTCTTTCTTTCTTTCTTTCTTTCTTTCTTTCTTTCTTTCTTTCTTTCTTTCTCTCTTTCGCTTCCCATCTTTCTCTCTCTCTTTTGCTTCCCTTTTTTCTTTCTTTCTTTCTTTCTTTTTCTTTCTTTCTCTCTTTCGCTTCCCATCTTTCTTTCTCTCTTTTGCTTCCCTTCTTTCTTTCTTTCTTTCTTTTTCTTTCTTTCTCTCTTTCTCTTCCCATCTTTCTTTCTCTCTTTTGCTTCCCTTCTTTCTTTCTTTCTTTCTTTTTCTTTCTTTCTTTCTTTCTCTCTCTCTCTCTCTCTTTCTCCTCTCCTCTCCCTGTCTTTTCCTTCTTCTCTTTCTCTCTTCTCTCCATGCTTCCTCTTTCCCTCCCTCCTTCCCTCTCTTTCAATTGAGAAAGTTCCTAGAAGTAGATATTCAGAAAAGCAAACAGGAAGTGTCAGCATTTACCGGTAAAGATTTCCGTGTCAGATGAATAACAGTTCTCCGCATCTCGACAAGTTGCTTCTGTACACGGGTTACATTGGCAGACCAGGGCATTTGCTGTTTGGGTTGGGTTGGGGTAGAAAATAAAATAACAATGATTTGGAATGGAAAAGCATCACTAATGATTTATGTATTTATGCTTTCTAATCTAATTCTTTTTCCATGGAATGGTGACCAGTGCACCTTCTCTGACCCTGTAAAAACGTGTCCTAATCGTGGCTTATGCATCAATACACTGGTCACTCATTACCCAGCTAGGTAACACCATCAAGGTACTTTATCAGGGTAATGAAACATCTGTAAGAAAACCAGCAAGCTCAGAGAACACCATGGATGTTAATGTTAATCGATCAATAATCTCCAATTACAGTGGATAACTATTTCATCACACTTCGCCTTCCGCCCTCCCAGTCTAGAGGCTATGTTCCAAGTGTTTGCCGGACTTACCTGTAGTGATCAAAGCAGTGAAAAAAATAAGGTACTTCATTGTTTTCTGGGAATGGAGAACTTTCAGTTTGCAGAGATAAATGTTCCAACAACGAATTTCTTCAGGTTAGAAATTTGTAGGGAGAAAGAGCAAGAGAGAATTAATATGGCAAACGAACAACGGAGAACTTGGAGGGAAGCTAATGAAACTGGTGAATCATGAGTTGGATAGGGTTTTTTTATATATATAAATTTTTTATCTCTAAAATTCTCTGACTGGAAAAATAATGAGCATATTTGGGAGAAATGTTGCTTCAAAGGTGTACATTTACAGTGGAGGAAATAGAAATTACCTTCTATTCATGATGGCTTAGAAATAACTAAGATTTCCCAATTCTTCATAACCTAGCCTTCCCCACCCTAAATGACAAATTCTATCTTTTGTTGGGCACTTTAGTTTTGGCTGAGAGCCACAGGGAAAAAGAAATGTGCTTGCATTTAAATACAAATACTGTACAAACATAAAGAAAATAATATAAATATGCTTGCCCTGGCTGACCCTGGCTGATTTCTGAAAAGGGGAAAGGATCAGAATAGGTGGTTAAGTGAATGGGAGACCACACACACACACAAAAAAAAATCTTCTTAATTTGTAGACCTGATTGGAAAGGGGGAATCCTGGAACTTCCTTCAGGAAGCCAGCTTGATTGTATCTGGGGTTGACGCCTTGGCAGAGTAACTAAGCAAGAGTTGAAGAATTATGAGGCTGTTGACAAAAACTGAATTTCAAACCTATAGAGTCCCTTTGCTGACTGCGGAATTCTGGGAGTTGAAGTCCACACTTCTTAAAATTGCTGAGAAGCAAGGCTGGCTGGGGAATTCATTAGATTATTGTATAATCTTTTTTTGTTGGTTAGCTTTCTTTGAATCACCATAATGTATCTAGAAGATCTGGTTGTTGTTTTTTTACCCGCCCACCCACTTCATCGTATAAATGCCATTTATCTATATATATTTTTCTATCAGTGCTCCAGTTTTTAATACCTTGCTATTCATATTTTCAAATGAATTTTTAAAGACCCCTAACAAGGGACAAAGAAAGGTTTTTTTTAAAAAAAACTTCTTGCACCTTTCTTTAATTCTAATCTAGAGCAGAGGTAGAGTTAAACATCTTGCGGTTTGCTATAAAAAGCCATTTTGTACCATTATTGTGCTTCATTTTAATTCTTCTGGACTATTTTGCACAAAAGAGCATATGGGTGGTATTAAGCCCAATGCTATTCCCCCCCCACACACACACATAAAACAGCAGCTGATGGATCTTTTAAATAATTAACAGGCTGAGTGACTATATCTTTAACTAGAACAAACACTCTGTGCTTTAAAGGCCCACAACATGCCAATGGAAAACAATAGATCATAGCTAGCAGGAAGCAATTAGAATGAGCACAAAAGTAGTAGCCATGCCTACAGGTCGAAAAAGAGGGATATATTTGAGGATATCAGAGGTGACTCTGGTTCCTGGGCAGGTGCGCCTTTTTTCCCTATGCAAATTAGTGAAAAAGATGAAAGCAACAGCTGCAAATTTATGAATTGAGCCAGTCCTAGTATTATATAACTTCATGTAATATCCCAGTTGCCTCCAGCCTCCGAGTTCCATCTGCCAGTCAGTGTCGGCTGGCAACTACGCGGAGGAGAGCCTTCTCGGTAGTAGCTCCGACCCTTTGGAACGATCTCCCCGTGGAGATTCGTACCCTCACCACCCTCCAGACCTTCCGCACAGCCCTTAAGACTGGCTATCCCGTCAGGCCTGGGGTTAAAGAATGTAACTCACCCCCACCCGAATGGTATGAATGTTGCGCTCTAT